GTCAATATGGGGTGCTGTGTGTACATTAATGAGGAAAAAAAATTAACTTAAATGATTTTAGCAAATGGCTGCAATATAACAAAGAGTGAAAAATTTAAGGGGGTCTGAATACTTTCCGTACCCACTGTATATATCAATCCAATATATTGGATATATATATATATATATATATATATCAGGGCTCTGAACCAGTTCAAGGAACGAAAACGAAAACCGGAAACGAACGAAATTTTGACAGGACCAGAAACAGAAACTAAATCTAATTTTATAGTTCCGAACAGAATCGAAAATATGAAATGGCCATTAACCGGTTAATAACGTTATTTTATCGTTCCATTTAATATTTACTATACTATACTAATATTTACTAATATTAATAACGAGTGAAATGCCGGCCCGCGCTCAGCTGTGAACTCATCATGGGTAAGTTTTTTCTTTATTTTGCAAAAGCTTGACAGTTTTGAATGATGTCTTCTTCTATCTGTATAACCAACCAGCGTTGGATCATCGCGCCGGCGCCTCACGCGCACACACAACATATTTTTGCGACATTGCAACCTGTTCATTATCAAAATAAAATACAATTAAAGAATCAAATAAAAAGTTACAATGCTCCGTTGTTCAATCTGTTGTATACAAGTAGCGTTTTTTAACAATGCAGCAAACATTTTTAAATATCTTAAAACTACTTTAATGTCTTTAAAGTGTTTAGTAGCCTACATTTGGTCAAAATCTTGAAAAGATGATGCTGTATTGGCTGTGACTAAGCGCAGCGGGTTATAGGCTAACGTTACCAGGGGCAAGTTCAAGCTCAAACCGGTGTGCACCGTTTTGCTACGGTTTCCGGTTTGAACGACATGTTTCCTGGCAGGAACAGAAACGTTAAAATATCTATTCTGCTCGGCGTGAACCGATTGAATTTTTTTTTCGTTTTCAAGCCCTGATATATATATATATATATATATATATATAATAAAGCAGAAAGTCATGGAATTTTACAAAAAATAAACATAATTGTTAAACTGTCATTTCACTACATTTACAAAGAAAGGTTAAATTGTTAATGTTTTATGCCTTAATTTGATTACCATATAAAAAGTTTCATAAATACATTAAAATAATTCAAACTGAATCCCGAAACTGGTTTTCATAGGGTCCTAAAAATTTAATTTTTGTTCAACTTAAAGTTTCATGATTTCAATTCATTAGACATTCTTTTTGTTTACTAAAAATGTATAGCATTAAAACGGAATCCAGAAACTGAAAAATAAATATACTGTAGTAATAAGAGAGAAAAAAACTTCTGTGAGAACAAATGATGCAGAGATGTCTTCCGTAATCCCTGTTAGGTAAAACATGAAGAAGAAATGCCCTCGATGTCCTAACATGTGTTTGATCTCCTCTGTGCAGGCGCTTCAGTCAGAACACTATCGCTCAGCTGTGGTACTTTGTGAAATGCATTTACTTCGGCCTGTCAGCGTATCAGATCCGCTGTGGATATCCGACTCGCATCCTGGGAAACTTCCTCACCAAGAGCTACAACTACGTCAACCTCTTCCTCTTCCAGGGGTGAGAAACATGTTCAACAGCAGTTTTTATAGGGTGATGTTGCATGGAATTTAGTGTTTGTTATTGTGGAATGAAAAAAAAAAATAGCGACCAATGCCCATAATTAAAGGGTTAGTTCACCCAAAAATGACATTTCTGTCATTAATTACTCACCGTTCATGTCGTTCCAAACCCGTAAGACCTTCGTTCATCTTCGGAACACAAATTAAGATATTTCTGATGGAATCTGAGAGCACTCTGACCCTGCATAGACAGCAAGGATACAACCACGATCAACACGCAGAAACGTAGCAAGGACATCTGTAAAATAATCCATGTCTTTGAATCAGCATTGTTTACGTTTAGTAGAAAGCGCGCATGCTGAACACTGATTACGTTGATTACGTTCGCGGAAGACAGTAACTCGGGGAGAAGAATTGCTGAAAAAATTATGTTATTATTATTTTCTTTGCACACAAAAAGTATTCTCGTAGCTTCGTAAAATTACGGTTGAACCCCTGATGTCACATGGACTATTTTACCGATCTCCTTGCTACGTTTCTGTGCATTGATCGTGGTAATATCATTGCTGTCTATGCAGGGTCAGAGTGCTCTCAGATTCCATCAAAAATATCTTAATTTGTGTTCCGAAGATGAACGGAGGTCTTACGGGTTTGGAACAACATGAGGGTGAGTAATTAATGACAGAATTTTTGGGTGAACTAACCCTTTAAAAAACGCAAAATATCAGCTGGCATATCGGTCGACCACTAATTTTTATAAGTAAAAGGAAGTTAAAGCAAGCCAGTTGTTTTCTATGCATAACAGATGCGCCTGCTTAGTGTGCGTTGTGTGTCCCAGGTTCCGTCTGATCCCGTTCCTGACGGAGTTGCGGGCGGTGATGGACTGGGTTTGGACGGACACGACGCTCAGCTTGTCTAGCTGGATCTGTGTGGAGGACATCTACGCTCACATCTTCATCCTCAAATGCTGGAGGGAGTCCGAGAAGGTAAGAAAGCGAGAAATAGCAGGCAGCTTCCTCCTAAGGCAGCATCCTGAGCATCTGTGTGTGTGTCGTGTGGCAGCGTTACCCTCAGCCGCGCGGGCAGAAGAAGAAGAAGGTTGTGAAGTATGGAATGGGTGGCATGATCGTGATGCTCCTGATCTGCATCGTTTGGTTCCCGCTGCTCTTCATGTCTCTGATCAAATCTGTGGCAGGAGTGGTCAACACTCCGCTGGACGTGTCCGTCACGCTCACGCTGGGAGGACTTCAGGTGCACAGCACTGTTCTGCTCATCTGCATGCTCATTTCAGATGTCTGCCAGTTCCTACTTTCAATATAAACCAAGAAACATTTTATTGCTTTCTATTCTGTCTCAGGTGTTTCTCCTAAAAAGACATTTGCAGAAATCAAAATATACGCAAACGAGTCATCCAATAAGTTTATAAATCTATAAAATGAACGTGGGAAGATATTTTTGAGTTCATATTATTCATATACTGTTTAATATAATATTTTTAATAAGCTTTGATTTTTTTCATTTTTCATTTTACTTTTAGTTTGTTTTAGTAATTTTATTATGTGTTTTGTCATTTTTATTAGTTATTGATTTGTATAATTTTAGATTTTAGTTAAAATTTTAGTAATTTTATTATGTGTTTTGTCATTTTTATTAGTTATTGATTTGTATAATTTTAGATTTTAGTTAAAATTTTAGTAATTTTATTATGTGTTTTGTCATTTTTATTAGTTATTGATTTGTATAATTTTAGATTTTAGTTTAAATTTTAGTCATTTTATATTATGCATTTTATATTATGTTTATATTAGTAATTATTTTATTACTTAGTTTTTTCTATTTATTATTTAAATTGTATTTTATTCATTATTATAATTTATTATTTTTTATTATAATTTTAGTTTAGTAATTATGTTATGTCAGTTTTATTTGGAGTGTTTTCTATTTATCTTTAATATTTTTTCAGTTTTAGTTATTTTAGTACAGTAACTTACATTTATTTATTTCATTTAATTTTTATCTAATATTAATATTTTATATTATTTCAGCTTTATTTCAATTACCAGCAATTATTTTTTATATAGTTTTAGTTACAATAACATCACTGGATCACTGACTTTTGATTTCAGACTTTAGTATCTAGGCAAAACAGAGCACAGATTGAGACATTGTTGAGATCTCTTCTGAAACTCTAGAAAAGACGTGTGAAATTACAGGGGTCTTTTCTCAGGAGAAACATCTGAGAAGCAGGAGACATAAATAAATGTCTCTGTTTGTTCAGTGCTGTCTAAGAGATCTGATATTTTTGTCTATCCTATGGGAAGCGTGCACATCTCAAGTTGCCTACCATTTGATAATTAACATGGCTCTCTTTTTTCTGTTCTTGTTTGTTTTATTGTTTTCAGCCGATCTTCACGATGAGTGCCCAGCAGAACCATCTGAAAAATGTGTCTTCTGCAGAGTTTGTCAAGTTTTCAGAAATATACAGATCTGATGCAGTAAGGAACTAAGCGTCTGTTCAAATCACAGCAGCTCCGTTGTACTTTGACATGAACATGTTTTCTAGTAATTTACCGATATATAGAAATGATTTCAGATAGCTGATTAATAATGACCAATAGAGTTCTATTTTCACATTTCACTGCATAATCAAAATAAAAAATAAGAAATGAAATTTTGCATAGATAAAATGGAACTTGTTTTAGGACTATTTGGATATTGTGGCATTATTTGCCTGCCAATTTAACAAATTTTGTAAAATAATTAGGGTTTATTTAGGAATTAATACTACTTTTGAAATACTACTATATATATATATATATATATATATATACATACACTGTATATGTCTGATAACAATGATGATGATAAATTGTGCATTCCGGATTGTTTCTAAATAGAGCTAAAGATGCTTGTGTCTCCTACAGAATGCCATGCAGTTCCTGGAGTCTTATGTTTATGAGGATTTGACAATAGCCAAACTAGAAGGAAGTTCCAACTCACTCTGGACCATCAGCCCCCCGAGCAAGGAGAACCTCATTAAAATGCTCAATAACACAGACGAGAAGTTTCCTCTCACCTTCACCTGGTCCATACAGAGGTACTGTAGAGTTCAACATCACACCGGCATACAGTTACACTGAGCACTTAGAAGAACCTGGTCTGCTGGTGGCTAATGGGTAAAATAAAATTTAAAAAATGCTGTCCAGATTTCACCCTGAGATCCAAACATTTTATGATATTTTACTAGGTAAAATATTTATCATATTAAAATTTGCTGTTTTACTCACCCTCAGTCCATCCAAAATGTAAGTGACACTTTTTCTTCAGTAGAATAAAGATTTTTACTTGAAACTGTGCTCTTTGGCAGGGGCGGATCTACCGGGGTGGCATGGGGTGGCAAATGCCACCCTAAGAAAAAGCTGTTCCACCCCAGAATTACTACAGAATAAAATATAAATGTAAGCAGTGTTTCATGTGCTACTAATGCCTAGTCATAAGTCTGTGGATATTTTGGTGAAAGTAACTCAAAAGTAACTCAAAAGTAGTGTAACGCATTACAATTCAGAGACAGTAATATTGTAATGTAACTAATTACTTTCAAAAGACAGTAACTAGTAATATATAATGTATTACATTTTGGAAGTAACTTGCCCAACACTGGCAGTGATGACAGCGTAACGTAAAATAATCGCAACAAAACATGGCTTTCAGTAAACTGTGCCAAGTTACCAAGTTCATACACTATATAATTCATTGGTATTTGAAGTTTTTTTTACAGTAGTAAAATGAAAATTATTTTTTCCCAAAAGTTGATTGCTGTATTATACATCTGTATTTGTAATTTAATTTATGTTGTATACTGTAATAGACATTATACTAGAGTTTTTTTGTTACAGTGTTATTCATCTTACAAGTGTTCACTGAGCAGGAAAGTCATCTGTGTATTTGAATTGTGTGTAAGCATTTAAGAAAACTGTAATAACTAGATTGAAAAACAAATTTATGGTGGCTTGTTTTAAAGTCTTGTTTAAAAAAACGTAAATAGTTTTATGTTCCAGGTTAGTTAGATGATCTAGTTGTTTGCTAAAGTGTTGCTAGGATATTCTGGGTGGTTGCTAGGCTCTTGCTATGCAGTTGCTGAGGTGTTGCTAGACTATATACTGTACATATATAGTTGATAGTGTGTGCTGGGTGATTACAGACATTCCCACCTCTGTTAATAACAGAAAATCAAACATTGTTTTCAAAACTCATCTAGTTTCAGTGCTAGTTTCAGCAGACTGAGGTGATCTGACATGTCCTGCCCCGGTGGGCAGCTGCTGCCTCCACCCGTCCAGCGGCCGCAGCACCCCAGCCTGCTCGTCACCGAGGGCGGCCCCCTACGTCCATCAACCGACAAGGTGGTCTACGCTACCGCCGCATGTTGCAACTCGCCTGCCACCTCCTCCTCTGGAGTCAGAAGGATCTGAGGTCGCTTCGTGCCATTCACATTCCGGGTCTGCTCAACCGGGCAGCCGACGAGCTGTCACGAGCTGCGCTCCCCGGAGAGTGGAGACTCCATCCCCAGACGGTCCAGCTGATTTGGAGACGTTTCGGAGCCACTCAGGTAGACCTGTTTGCCTCTCCAGAGACCTCTCACTGCCAGTTGTTTTACTCCCTGACCGAAGGAACACTCGGTACGGATGCACTGGCACACAGCTGGCCGCGGGGCCTGTGCAAGTATGCTTTCCCCCAGTAAGCCTTCTCGCACAGACACTGTGCACGATCGGGGAGGACGAGGAGCAAGTTCTGCTTGTGGCGCCCTACTGGCCCACTCGTACCTGGTTCCCGGAACTAATGCTCCATATGACAGCCCCTCCCTGGCAGATTCCTCTGAGGAAGGATCTACTGACTCAAAGACGGGGCACCCTGTGGCACCCACGTCCAGACCTCTGGAAACTTCACGTCTGGTCCCTGGACGGGACGCGGAGGTTCTAGGTGGCCTACCCCAAGAGGTAGTAGACACCATCACTTCAGCAAGAGCACCATCTACGAGCACTTATGCCTTGAAGTGGAACCTGTTCGTCGAGTGGTGTTCTTCTCACCAAGAGGACCCCCGTAGATGCCCGATCAGAGTCGTGCTGTCCTTTTGCAGCAAGGGTTGGAGCGAAGGCTGTCTCCCTCCACCCTTAAAGTCTATGTGGCTGCAATTGCTGCGTATCACGACCCCGTGGAAGGGAAGTCGGTAGGGAGGCATGACTTGGTCATCAGGTTCCTTAGGGGGGCGAGAAGGTTAAATCCTCCCCAGCCCCTCTCTATACCCTCTTGGGACCTGTCTTTAGTGCTCAGAGCACTACAGCAGGGCCCATTTGAGCCCTTGCAGTCAGTCGAGCTAAAGTTCCTTTCAATGAAAACTCAATGAACCTGCAAGCGCTGCCCCCAGAGGAGGCAGACCCAGCCCTAGCTTTGCTTTGTCCCGTCCAAGCCTTGAGATGGTACGTAGACCGGACACAAAGCTTTAGGACCTCAGATCAGCTCTTTGTCTGTTACAGAGGCCGGCAAGCAGAGGATGGCCCACTAGATATTGGATGCCATCACACTGGCTTATCAGGCACAGGGTGTGCCCTGCCCGCTCAAGTTGCGAACTCACTCTACTAGAAGTGTTGCATCCTCCTGGGCACTGGCTCGTGGCGCCTCGCTGACAGATATTTGTAGAGCTGCGGTCTGGGCGACCCCCAACACGTTCGCTAGATTCTATAGCCTTCGTGTGGAGCCGGTATCCTCCTGTGTTCTCACCTCAAACGAGTAAAGGCACTGAGAGGCCCCGGTTTAGCGTCGGCTTGCTAAAACTACTCCAGAGTGTCCGTACTGTAGACCTTGTCGAGCTCCTCCATCCCCTCGGCAGCCAGAAGTGGCAGAACATCTGGTGCCAGGCCCTCACTCGATGAATCCGTGAGAACCGGTAGAGGGCTGGG